CAAAGAATCGGAGGTAACATCCGAATTATTGTCGTCATTTTGATCATTTTCAAATAAAATTACGCCAGACATAGTTGTTCAATGAATGCATGCAAATTAAAAAAAAATCTTATTTAAATTAGACGCGTAAAAATGCGTGGATAATCATTTGATAATCTAATTGAACTGGTCTTTAAGATTGCAGTCTGTTGATCTGATCTTGGTCCAGTCTACCCCTCAAACTGGACTGAAACCGGTCCTATGATCAGGACCGGTCTGAACCGTCCAACGTTAAACCGTTAACATCTCTAATCATGAATATTACTTTTGTACATTAGTATTAGGTTTCCTACTTTAAATGGTTGTAATTTTGGCAGTTTCTCGTCATGTCGTTCCTTTTGCTTCTATTGGGACTTTTTGATATTTGCCTGTATCTCATTAATTTCATAATCCATTCTTCCTGTTATTTGTCGCACACGATTTAAAAGATCTGTCATATCATCTGTTACTTGTAAGACTTGTATAGCTATTGTTTGTATTTGAAATTCTACTGAAAGTATAGCACTCCTTCCATAGGTCAAGTAGAATGGTTCGTGCCTTGTAGTATCATGTCATTTTGTTCGATAGGCAAATAAGGTTGAAGGAATAAAAGTATTCTAATCATCCTTATTATCATTGGCAAATTTCGCTAATGTTTCACATAATGTTCTATTGAAACGTTCAACAAGTCCATTTGTTTGTAAATAGTAGGCAGTCGTTAATTTGTGTTTTACTTCCAGTTCATTGCATAGAGAATTCAGCATTTCATTTACAAAATGAGTTCCCCTATCTGTTAATAATTCTTTTGGACATCCATGACGGCAAATTATGTCTTCATAAAAGAAAGGTACAACTGATGCTACTTTTGCGTTTGGCAAAGCTTTTGCTTCTGGCCATTTAGTTAAATAGTCCATTGCTACAACTATATATTTATTTCCTTACTTAGTTATTGGTAAAGGTCCTACTATGTCCATTCCAATCCTGTCAAAAGGTTATCCGACTTTTATTGGATGCAAGGGTTCAGTTCGCTTATTTACTCCTCTTTTTTGACACTCATCACATGACTGAACATATGTGCGAATATCATCATACATCTGTAGCCAATAGTACTGTATCTTCATTCACCTGTAGGTCTCTTCTAAAGCAAAATGCCTAGCCAGTGGGTCTGAATATAGATTATATAAAATAATGTTGATTTTATTTTCTTTGACAACTTTTAATGGTCTATGTGGTTCTGTTTTGTTCTTTTTATATAGTTGTCTCTCGATCACTATAAAGTATCTTGATTTTCATTTTATTGATTCCTTTTGTTGTGTTGTTAAGTATAGTGGCATTTGCAAGTCAGTTAAATATTGTAATAATGGGTAATATGTTGTTGAATCCATGGTTGCGTTAGTCAATTATCCAATATCAGAAAAGAAGTCTGTTGAGTTATAAATTCCGTTTAGCTTATGAAATTTCTAAGGTTTTTGTTCTAATATACTATTCAACTTAAGGTATCTACGTTGGAATGATTTTTACCTGGTCGATTAACTATTTTAATATCATAAGCATTCAGAATCATTAACCATTGTCCCAATTGTCTAACAGGATTTGACATATTTTTAAGATAGGCTAATGTGGCATGATCAGTTATTACAAGAAACTTATGTCCATGGAGATAATGATGGAAATACTTAGTAGCCCAAACAACAGCTAAGCATTCCTGTTCAGTTACAGAATATTTTCGTTCAAGAGGTTTAAGGGTTCGACTTGCGTATGCAATGACATGTTCTCTTTTTTGGTTATCCTTCTGTGATAATATTGCCTTCAGGGCAAAAGAGGAAGCATCAGTATATAGGATAAATGGCTTGTCAAAGTTAGGGTAAGCCAATATAGAAGGGTAATCAACTTGTACTTTAATTTTTCGAAAGTATCTTGTTGTGATAATGTCCAAACATATGGAATATTCTTTTTGAGCAATCTATTTAAAGGTTCGAATATATCAGCAAAGCCTTTAATGAAACGTCTATAATAAGAAGCCAAAGCTATAAAGCCTCTTAATTGCGTAAGGTCTCTTGGTATGGAAAATTCTTTATTGAAGCCACTTTTTCAGGATCTGTTTGTATTCCTTTTCTACTGATCACATGTCCAAGAAAAGATAATTTTTGCTCAAAGAAAAAACACTTTTCAGGATTGAGCTTTAATCCAGCTTGCCGTAATCTCAAGAATACTTGTTTCAGATGTAATAAGTATTCCTCGAAAGATCTTGAACTTATGTTGATGTTATCAACATAAACAACTACGTATTGCTATAAAATATCACGTAGAACAGTATCCATTAGCCTCTGAAACATAGCAGGAGCATTGCAAAGTCCAAAAGGTATGACATTGAACTCGTATGTCCCAAAACGAGTTATAAAAATGGTCTTTTCTCTATCTTTTAATTCCAATTCAACTTGCAAAAAGCCACTGGAAAGATCTAATGAAGTAAACCATTGAGATCCTTCAAGTGTTTCTAACATATTGTCAATTCGAGGCAAAGGATAATTATTCTTTTTTGTGACACTGTATAGCTTCCGATAGTCTATGCATAAACGTTTTTTACTGTTTTTTTTTTCGACTACAACCACAGGTGAAGTCCATTGACTTTTGGATGGTCTTATAAGTCCTGACTTTAAAAGTTTTTGAATTTCTTTCTTGATGAACTCCTGGTTATTATATGAAGTCCTATAAAATCTTTGTTTTATTGGGGTTGCATCTTTTGTATCAATACTATACGTGACTATATTTGTCTTTTCATATTAATCAGATTCTCAAATAAAAAGATCAACATATTGTTCCATAAAGTCCTTAAATTTTGTTATTTGTTCTTCTGTAAGATTTCCTGTATGAAAAGTTCCCTTTTCAATTTCCTTATATTGATAAAATGCTTGCCTTAC